CTCTATCTAATCTAGTTGAATCTTGTTGTCGATCAGATCTGGGCAACTGTCTTCTCTCGCTTGCAGAATCGCCGAGAAGTGCAATGGTCATGCTCCTTTGAATGACACATGTTCTTCCAACAACAATGCCACAAGTAAGACTTCCGCTAGAACTGTTCTTTTTTTATGGATTCTATGGTCTCTTCTCCTGAACATGCGCAACGACAAAGTGCACACGTCTGGGGGGAGACAGCGCTGCCTGGGAAGCTCACTGAAGCGAAGCCAGACACCTCGCAATCGACCTCGTCGTGTGTCACGATGACATCCTGCCGAAACAGGACACCATCGGTGTTCAAATGCCGCTTGGTGCTTCACCGGGACCTTCACTCACTCTCCCGCACATTCACAATCCCATATCCGAGCCTTCCCTCTGAACTCGGAGAAAACATTCCTGATCTCATTGTCTGTCATGTCTTCTGGAACGCCGGCCAACACCTTGCGCAAGGGTGTTTGTGTGGAGACCAGGGCTCTGAGATGCTTAGAGCACCTGACGAATCTGCAACTTGATTGACATACTATGACATACTACTTCAGACAAATTACTCCTTTTCAATCTTCCCCCATGGCCACTCCCTGCAGCTATGGAGCAATGCGATCTGGCAAAGCATGGGCTCGGATATATGCCTCAGCCACGTGAAAGATGGGGTTGGTAACCAAATGCAACCAAGGACCTCAAATCACACAAAAGGTGCAAGACACCTGACCTGCAACTAAAGGCGTTTGCACGTGATAAATGTAGCATGCCCAGCAAAAGAAATTGCGTTCAGGTATCCACAATCGAAATTGCCCCTTTTGACTTGCATGGCGCAAGCATGTCAACACCGTGGTCCTAAACAAGGCCTAGTAAGGCGCATTGGAAAAATTTGACCACGTTACCCTAAAATGGATACGTACCTGAACAACTATTGCACATTGCACACCTTCAATGTCTCCTCCCCTTTAAAAACAACGCAATTCCGCGAAACAAACAAAACATGATCAGTTCCTGCTGTCTCCCAGCTACAGGCTCCACCACACGCGGGATTTTCATGGATATGCAGCCCATCAAGGTAGAGGAACTCCGGCTGGTAGACCTGCGCAAAGCCCGCAACGATCTGAGCAGGGCTGTGGGCCATGCGGATGTTCTGACATGCGCCATTTCAATTGCCGAGTGCGAATCTGGTTTCCTCAGAGGGCCTCAAGGGCATTTATATAAGTCGTCCTTTTCTGCTTGGGATGCATTCAGCTATGGGAATGCCTTGGGATGCTTCTAAACCATCACTGCTTGTAGTGCATCGGCGACTGTAGCCACGCTCCTTGCCTGAGTTCAGCCACCTTGCCCTCGAGCATCGGCCTCAGATTGAAAAATACAAAATCCACTGCTTCTGAAAAAAAGATTGTAGTAGCTTCTTGTTACTAGTAGTAAGGCCAGGAGCCCCTAGTAGCGTTCTTGTTCCTAGTAGCGATGCCCTTTGTTCCTAGTAGCTGGAATGGACATGTAGCAATGCCTGAAACATCCTGAAACTGAATCTGTGGGACCATCGGACAGCGAGTCAAAAACGGCCGCCAACCAAGGCTTCACTCTTTAAGAACGAACCTGCGACAAAAAAAGTCTGGCACACCCCCGAACCAAGAGTCATCTCGCGCGAAGCTATGCAAAATATTCTACAGTACGTATACTGTAAGTGTGGGAAGTACTCGTTCAGGTTATTGCATGGCAGCCGAAAGAAACGCTGCCAAGTTGCGGATGGTCTCCAACCAAAACGCAATAAAATATGACTTCGTCACCAACATGTAGCCGCAACTGCCCACAGTCAGCTTGGCGAATCCTGACCTCTTTGCCCATGAGGGCCGTCAGGGGATCCGTGCCTTGGCACAAAGACAGCGGCAACGCGGATCATGTCCAGCTCGCTTCTGACGGACGCCACTCTGCTTACTGGAAAGAAGGCCATTGCTGACCCCTGATCCTCAAGCCATGGTCGAACCAGCATGCACGCACGCCGAATCCACATTCCGCTCTAAGGTGTGGGTGGGCATAGATCGTGAAATTATGAAATTATGTGACAGTTATTCCGGTCCAGTTCCTCAATTGTCCCCACAACAGCCATCTCCCTAAGCCAAGGCACCATCGGGATCGCCTCAGTCAGAAACAAAATGAAACGACTCCGCTCGAAGGGTGCGGACGGCGGATAGGTGAAGAAAAACAGATTTGCACCTTGAACATCCTTGAATGCATATACCATGCAATTCCAACAAAAGTAATATAAGCACATGGAAATCAAAGACTCTTGGCATCTTGTTGGCTAGCCACTCCTGGTTACCTTCTGCTGCCCATGCGGGTCAATCATGGCACCCTGCCCACACGAACACAAATGTAGCCCCTTGCTGGTTCTTCAGTTCTTCAAACGTCTGGCGAATCACCAGCTTCCCATCAGCATCATCAGTTTTCAGGATGGAGGGTGACTAGCATGCCTCTAGGGAGATGCCACTGGGTAGAGGAGTTGTCAAAGGCGGGTGAGGCAAGTCGTCACTTGCTCCGTAAGTCTTCCAAAGTTTCTTAAGGAAATGGAAGGCTGCGTGGAATGTTTGTGTGATGTGCTGAAGCCAGCACGTGAGACGTGAGCGTCCGCCAAAACGCAGCGTCAAGAAGAGGCCATGATTCAGTAAGGTTATCATTTTTGAGGGGGCCTATCGCTTTTGCAGGTTTTAGCGAATGTCCGGTAAATTAGTCATCGCATGCTTTGGCAGTTGCTCATGTGACATAGATCATCACTGCTGAATCGTGCTGATGTGAGCTGAACAGAGCCAGTGCAACTCAGAGACCCTTCACCGTAAGAATGCCATCCGCCGCAAGCTCACCAGGCAGTTGGAGCACTTCTCCGATCAGCCGTCTTACCCGCCGCGTCTTTGTAGCCTGCGGGTAGCCCTCGGAGGACTCGGTCACCTCAGAATCCACTCTCTGAAGAGTCCCCAAAACTCAATAACAGACCTTGCAGCGGCATTAGGATTTTTTGCAGGCTTTACCACGCTGTTTGCGCACTCAAGCCCATCCAAACCCAGGTGCCCAGCAAGTGAGCAAGTGCCTGGCCTGAAATTTGACAAGCTGGCCATCTCGCACGGCTTCAGATTGGGCACCGACGACCTTCATCTGCTGGCCAGAAACTCGCAACTGTGCAGGCTTTAGGATGATCAGGAGTTGGGAATTGGAAGTTCAATGTGCTTCAACACCCTGATCTCTGCTTCTAACAAGCACTTTCTGCGTCCTCGAGGCCACGTCATTCGCTAAGACAGCAGCATCCTGGCTGGACCAACAGCAGCTCAAGGCTCACACTCACACAGAGCAACATGCAATGCACCGCCACAAGTCTAGAATTCAGCATGCCCTACCAGGCTGTGCAAACAATGCATCTCACAACTGCCCACCCATACCTGCCTCCTTGGAGAGATAAACGTCCCGCCCAAAGCGAGCTGCTGTGTCCAGGCAACTGAGCCAGCCGAAGCCACGATCGGTGAAGGACTTCACAGCACCTGCCGATCAAGGAAGCGCAATGATTCATCTTCTTTCCGTGTCTCGTCTTATCGGTTCTTTTCGTATCCTTTTGTAGACCGTAGGCCTTTGAAGTACTGTAACCTACTCTTTCTTCCTTTCCTCCCTTTAGCTAGAAGTGACAACATGCCTTTGCTTTAGCACTCGCACACATTTTGCTTCGTCCGCACTTTCGTTCGTTCAGCACTAGACTTCGGTAGATCTTGTTTGTGTTCAGCTTGGTCCTGCCAACGCCCTGACATCATCACACGGAAGGGCCCACACACTTCATGACAGTTCGTGACTACACAACGCGACCCCAAAGCTTTCTTTTCCAGGCGCCGTAGAAGTACATGTCTGACAGGTCATCAGACAAAAAGGGCTCTGCCAAAGTGGCCTGCCAGGATTCAGCACATGAATGAACCCAGCTTGGAATCCGGCAAGCACATCCAAGCATAGTAAAAAAAGACAAACGTGTGCAGGAGCACACCAAGCAAAAAATACATATATAAAGCATTATAAATCAAGAGGAGAGGGGGAGAGAGAGAGAGAGGGAGGGGAAGAGAGAAAGAGAGAAAGCGAGCAAGAGGAAGTCAGAAAGAACAGAAAACAGAAAAGGAAACAAAATAAAGAAAAAAGAAAGTTCCAAAAGGTCTAAAATCTATAAAGAAAGAAGGACCGAAAGAGTGCGGGGAGTGTGTGTGTGTGTGTGTTTCTTTCGTTCTATTGATTACAGCCAGGCATTGCCGCCAACAGCAAACCATGGCCTTCTGGTCTATACTCATTGGAGGAAAGGCCTTGCTTGCATGCCAAAACCTCAGCCAAGCTCAGCCACAAAGCGCACTCGCATCCCAGACCCTTTGCGTGGCTCCCTTGTGGCTGGAGCTGGATGGCCGTCACTCTGACCGCTGATACTTCATACAGCTCTTGGCTTGTTATGATCTCAACTGAGCTCAACGCAGAGGAGCTGCTGCTGGCACGGGCCAAGTTGCGGTGACTCAAAGGTTGCTGCGAGCAAACTTGGCAGCGGGGTCCATCAAAAAGACATCTCGAACTCTGAAGACTCTGAAGAAGAGCAGCATGACAATAATATGAAAACTGCTATTGTTTTTTGCTCAACACACTGCACACGGTGGAAAGCCTTGCATTTATCATCTATATATATATATCTTTATTATATAGTGTGTAAATTTATATATATATAACATACCTATATACATGTATACAATTATGAACATGTATGTTAACAAACTAGCCCCGCAAAGAAACATTATTCTTGAGTGTGCGCCGTGCACAGTTTTATTCAAGTCGAGGGGAAAACCAGGAAAGCAGAAGCCGTTGGCTCTCACCACAATTGACTCAGCATCAGCATCACCATAACCGACCACAAGAGACAGTGTCCAGGATTGTGGGAAAGTTTTCCATCACCTCCACCAACGCGGTCGCACGGTTCGGCCTCTCGCCCCAATAACTCACGGCCATTGAGGTTTTCAACCGCCTTCAAGGCCAACTCGCTGTTGGCAAACTGCACCTTGCCTGCTGTGCAACAAATCTACACTGAAGCCACTGAAGCCCTCGTCCAACAACAACAACAACAACGGAAGCTGTATGGTAGCAGCAGCACATCAGTACGGTCAAAGCCGGGCAAACTGCGGCCACCGGTTTCTACCAGTGTCGAGCTAATGAATGCATCTCGCATCCTTCCATGCCAAAGGCCTGATCCTTTGGATTTGCCGGTCTCGCGGTTTGTGAAGACGGCTGCGTAGGACACCTGGCCATCAGCAAATGCCTCCCCTCAATGCATAAGACTAGACTATATTTTTTATATCAAAGGGCACCGTGAAATGTCAGGTGAACAAGGGCCAAGACAAAGGGGGACGGAGCGAGATAGCTTGATTGCTCGGTCCTGCCTCACCAACCTGCTCGCCAAATGCCTTGAGCCCTTTGGAGTCTAAGTCCCAGCTCAACCCTGGCAACTGGCAAAGCATGCAGCATCAAGAAAGCCAAGCTAGGGTCAATCAAATGCCGGTGTGCCGGCCCACCATTCCCCCGTTCCCGCTGAAACACGTCCACAAAACGCAAACAGCTCAGCACCTCCGACGAACACTGTCCGACCATCAGGTTCTTGAGGAAGCCGATCACCTGAAAAATCATTGAACACCTCTATTAGTAGGATGCTGACTCAAGTCTTGCCATTGTCTCGTATGAGGATGTGGCAGGTTGAGTGCTCATTCCACACTCTGTAAACCCATTCAGTGCTACCCCCGCCATACCTGGGCGACGTAGGCTTAAGTGACTGCCCTGCAACATGGCCCCTTCGAGCTCCTGTCAAGGGCAAGCAGTACATCAGGTACGAGTCGGTACGAGTAATTAGTTTGAAAAATGTTTAAACATTCCATCTAATCAAAAAGTTCTACAAGGGAAATCTGCCCAAAAGGTTGGAAACCAAGACAGGATGCTGTGTGTCTAAACTTGGGAACTAAAGAAAACAGGCCTGGAACTAATATAGACTATCGATCATCGGTCTCAATCAACTTCGTCATTGATTGACTAGTTGCTGCGACTCAAAACTCTCCATGCTCCATCCTTCAGGGCGCGATCCACCAACTCCGCCGACGCCAGCCTTGAGGTGTTTGTCTTAATTTAATTAAAGTAGCTTATTGTTTCTAATAGCTTCTTGTTACTACTAGTAAGGCACTTGTTACTACTAGCGATGCACTTGTTACTACTAGCTTCTTGTTACTACTAGTAAGGCACTTGTTACTACTCGCGATGCACTTGTTACTACTAGCTTCTTGTTACTACTAGGATGCATGGCTTTTGCCTTGACTCGTCGGTCAGACCCGAGCTCCGCGCTCTAGTTTCCCAATGCCCTTCGGCTCACCCGTGTCTTTGTCAACGAAGACATGGCAATAAGTGACCTGGCGAGAAGAACAGCGCATTTTTCATTATTTTGCTTTACTCGTTGCTTAAGCTACCTGCCTTGCGGTGGAGTTTCTTAGAACTTCCATCTCCTCCTATGGGCTTGTTTTTTGCCAAGAGGAGCTTTTTGGCATGTTGGATCTCCACGCATTCCCACCGGTGCCGATTGGCGAGGTACTTGCCGGCACTTGGCTGTCCCTTTTTTCAATTTACTGTAGTTTCTTTTCGAAGTTCTGAACAGGCATCGGTTTTTGAAGCGGCTCAATGCGGCTGCAGGCTACAACACTAAACCCACTGTCGACTGTCCACTTAGGACCTTGTTGCGGAACCACACCACGAAGCAGCGGTACCCATTGACTTAAGAAGCTTGACTCATGCAAAAAAAGAAATGCTTCATTGGCAGGAGACGGAAGGCATGAAAAAGGACTGACTTGACTTGCTCAGGCTGCGACTGAACCATCACCCAAGCAAGTCTCGCAGAACTCACGCAGCATCTGACATGCTGAGGCACATGGGTCGGCTGAGTCAGCCAAGTGGTGCGCTGATGTCAGTTTTGCAAATCGATCGATGACATGTTTGAACCTGTAACCTCCGACAACTCAACCAGAACCTGGTTCAGGCTGTTAAGGTGAGCCATCCAAAAGGAACAACGCTCTCGGGTCTGCTTGATCTGCTTGTTGCTTGTTGACCCAGTGTGGGGTTCAATCGAACAGTTCGACTCCCAACCGTGCATGGAGAAAGAGTGTCCCAGCCTCTGCAGACGTTTCGGTGGAGAGAGAGACAAAGATCTGGCGGCCGCCTGGGATCCAAGACTCCAAGATAGATGCGTTCAGTTTCTGCCCTCTCATTGTTTGGAGCTTTCACCATAGTGTATACCTGTGTCATTTTTCTCTCTCTCTCTCTCTCACTCTCTCTCACTCTCTCTCTGGAGAGTCTGAGGAATGAAGTTGTCTTTGCTGGACTGCTGGACGAATCTTTATGAAACAGCTTACTCAAGAAGAGACTCCTTAAAATACAAGGTTGGCTACACGTCTGCCTTAGGCGGGGTCATCTCCGCTCTCTTTTGACAATTCACTCCTTCAACGTCCTTCAACTTTTGATCCCAGCGACTCTCTGGTGGTCTGAGGCCTGGTGGTGGTCGTGTGAGCCTTGGATTCGTCGAGTCGAACTTGCACGAACACGAGTCGTGCCATGTTGAGCCAGGGCTCGGTGGTTTCGCTTCCATCAACTTCACCTCAGGCGACGGAAGGTGCTGTAGAAGCTTCAATATGAAATGGCGAACGGCTGTTGTTGGACTACTTTACACCCTTCCGGCTGAGTGCCACGTGCTTGCTGACGACTAGGTATACTTCATATTACTTCTTGGTGTCACCAGTTCTTCAGCACCCTTCCCTCCGAGGCACGTGGAGCTGCCGACCATCCAACTCGGAGCCATCAAGTTGTTGCACTGCTGATAGAGCTGCATCTGGAGTTTGGAATTCCACTTTGCCACTGCCTCGCAACAAGAACTGCTGCAAACCGCATCGAAGAGATGCTCAGAATTGACAAGTTCTTTGAATGGTGCCTTTGGGCTTGCCAGTGCCCTTCACAGTGAACACAGATGCATGGACTACTTCACCCACATTGGCAAAATGTTGTTGCAAACCTGGCAGGCGCTCAAAGCCATTTAAGATCCTTTGCGGATGTTGAGAACATTTGGCCGCAAGAATGGCGACAAAAGTTCGATAAACGTCAAAGAGCGGCCCACAAAAAAAAATAATCAGGACTCACACAGAAATTACAATCAATGAGCAAGACCTTGCTACCATGTGACCTTCGCTCGTAGTGTTGAAATTGAGGCCACCCACAAAGATAGTGGAATCCTCAAACATTCCAAGGCAAAAAGGAATCAAGCAACTGCAAGGAGTTGGGCACCAGAAGCCCAGCAATACAAAGGTATTTGCTTCCACCTCGCTGTAAATTGTAAATGTTTTCACATTTGGTATCAAGATGTAGCAAGTGGTTGTGGCTGTGGAGTTTGGATTTGTCGACTTCTTACAAGTTGTTCACCAGCCTTGCTTCATCCTTTTGCTGGCTTAAGATGGTTGCTGTGTCTTCGCGCTCTCTCTCTCTCTCTCCCTCTCTCTCTTACTCTCCTTCTCTCTGTCTGGCTGTGCTGCTTTTTGTCGCCACTGCTGCGCCTTAGCTATTGTTGCATTTTTACTCTTACCTCTGCTGCACCACCACCACCACCACCACCACCACCACTCCTACTCCTACTCCTACTCCTACAGCTACTGCTCCTGCTCCTGCTCCTGCTCCTGCTCCTGCTACTGCTGCTACTGCAACTGCTACGACGACGACGGCGACTGCTACTGCTACTGCTAGGGCTACTACGACTACTACGACTACGACTACTGCTGCTGCTGCTGCTACTACGACGACGACCACCACCACCACCACTGCGCCTGCGGCTGCGTCTGCAACAGCGACTACGACTACGACTACTACGACGACTACTACTACTACTACTACGACTACATACGACTACTAAGACTACGACGACTACGACGACTACGACCACGACTACCACTACCACTACCACTACGACTACTGCTACTACTGCTGCTGCTACTGCTACTGCTGCTCCTCTTCCTCCTCCTGCTGCTGCTGCTTCTGCTTCCTACTACTTCTTCCTCCTGTGATGACTTTGTTGCTGCTGTTCTTGTGGTTGGTTTTGACCCGTACTCTGGTCGGTGTGACTGACTTTCTGTTTAAAGTCTGTACTGGGTGGTACTCAGCTCTGACTGTTTTGGCCCGTGACAATCGTGTTGAATGCCTCAACATCTCAATCGACGTCATTCTCATTGCTGCTGGATCTCCAACTGTGGTGATGGCTTCACCCCGTGATCCAGCCGCACAGTGATGCGCTTGGAGACGTAGAAGGTATCGTGCCTTATGACATTAGGCGTGTCCGGGCGGCAGCTCTCTGTGGCGGCGTTTGAGAATGATGTGCCTCTTCCGATGGGCCGAGCCGAGTTGCAAAATATTGACAGCTCGGGCAGCCTCTTCGGCACTTGCCTCAACGCAGGTTTGATGGAAGCCTGAACCTCGCATCCACATGCTGAATGCCCCTAGCTAGATTGTTCTAGACCTGTTTAGCATGAGGCCCTTTGCCCCAAAACAACTACAACTGGTTGCTGGTGGTTTGATAGGTTGCTTCGTATTTTTGTTCTGGATTTTGCACGTGTGTCGCACATTCGGCCCGGAAGTTATAACTATATATATATATATATGTTGTGTTTCTTAAGCATCAACAGCACCTCCTTTTCATTGGCATCACCTCATCAATTTGGGATGTAGTTTCATGCATAGACAAGGGGTAGCGCTCAGCGGAATGGCTACAATGTTACCAACATCAGATTGCTTCATGCATCCACTGCACTTGCTTTGGCATAAACTAGGGTTGGGGGGGTTGGGGAGGGGTGGCATTAACATGCATAGTATTAACTTTGTTAGGATTGCCAATTGCAACGAATTATCTCTAGTCAAGTCTCTAGGGTTCAATCTTCAGATTTTGCAGAGCACTCCGAGTTTGAGAAAATCCTCGAAAGCTGAAGCAAACACATCTCTTTATAAAGTGGAGCTGCTACACTCTTCTGGCAAGAAGCAACAAAGTGAGGAGAACACCATAGAACCAGCTGCGGCTTAAACAGGTTGCCACCGAAAGTAGTGTTTAGTTTCATGCAAAACAACATGTTTAAAATCTGTCCAGGGAACCTAACAGGCAACGAACCAAACCGTGATCCAGCAGTTGCCATTGCCCTTCACTATCTGCCTGAACATTCCTTGGCACATGTATGTACACGTGGTTTCGAGCCATCTGGCATGTTTGTGGAGACTGCCCGTCGGCCTGAGCCTGCTCGGGGCGTTCCCACCTGACCCTGCTGCCCTGGCCTGAGCCTGGGTCACGACCCCTCCGCCCTTCTACAGACTGAAACACTTGACACTTTGTCTTGGCAGTGTTAGAGTTGCCATTTATCTTATTATATATATATATATTCCAAAACTTTCACAAACCAACCACGGTGGACCTTACCAATTCAGAGTTTGACAATAGGTCGAAGTCAGCAGCTTTGTTCACCGGATTTCTCTAATCATACAATCATATACAATATACAGTATATTGCCTGCTAGAATCTAGAATTGTTCAAAGGCATCTCATCCTGGCCACAAAGCGGGCCCATATTAGCCCATTTTCTACGTTTTACATGAACAGCTGCATTATATGCATAAAGCAGCAAGAGTTTGCATCCACCTCCCCTAGTCCCAGTGCTCTGCTGGCCAAGCACCATGGTGGCACGGCCCATGCAATTGCCCTGCGCTGTCTGAAAGACAGAGGCTGAGACCACCTGTTGGGAAGGACAGGTCAAAATCAAAGTGGCATCTTGTTGTCTTGTTATATACTTGTTGTTATAGCCATAGCCTGTTATAGCCACATGTTTGGGAAGAAGCGACCCAGTGCAACAAGCGCCTTCACAACTTTTCACAGGCACCGATCTTGTTTGTGTCACAGGCCTCGCCAGCCTGCTGTAGCAACTCTTGTAGCTGAGCATCAGAGACCTTTATTGCCAGTGGTCAAGCATGACCAGAACGGTTGACAAATGATTTCGAACAAAATTGGAAGAAGGAACTTAAGCAAAGCAAAGACAACATGTGCAGTTCCTATATAAAAAGTTTATCCTTAACCGAATGCTTCCCCTCCCTTGGTAGCTGCTCTTTGAATCCGGAACCTACGCCATTCCACGCGCCTCATCTGGCAAGTTTGCCAAAAAGAGTCTGCACTGTGGATCTGCAGCTTCTCTGGGCTCTCTTGTTGGCCGGCTTGGCCTTTCTTGCCTCGGTGCCGGCTTGACAGAATTGTCCGTGTCCAATCTGGCCAGCGCAAGAAATTGCGGCACCTTCTGGTGCGCCACTACCCAGCTGTTTCATGGTGCTTTACGTTGTTTGGCACGGGTGAGCGGATGAAAGGTGCGCACGGCTGATTCAAACTGGCCGAGCAACTCCATGAGCCGCGCGGAAAGTCGCTGACCATCCAACAGGCGGCCGTTGAGTTCCTGGCCAACAAACTTTGAAACGTGAATTTAAAGGATGAACAGCACCTCCCTCACACATCCTCACACTCTCCATTCGATTTATTTTGTGTGTGCATGTGCCTGTCTCTAACAGGCATGAACCGTCAATTGATTGGTCAGTTGACGATGGTCAGGTGTGCAAGTGCTTCCTAGCCTGAACGGCCTTCTGCGCCAACTCAGGCGTCTGAAACTCCACCTTCCCCGTCCCTTTGGATTCCCGAGTCTCGCGATTCAAAAACCTAAGCATGTGCGGGACGGTTCATGCATATCTCGCAGCTTTTCAATGCTTCCCGCTTCAGCCAAGGTCCCACAAGGCAACTTTGGACTATGACTATGTGCTGAAATGTTACTGTGTCTGTGCTTCCAGGTTGCACGCGAGCCGTGTCCACAGCACCAACCGTCATTTGACAGAACTCCCGCAGCATCTCCGAGCTGGTGTCTCGGGTGTTCCAAACCGTGGGAAAGAAAACCGCACGGGTTTGGAAGGTGGACCACATCCAACGCCAAAATCGAGCTTCAGACCGGCCGTGAGCCCGGCAATGAAGACCTGCCGGCCATCCACCTGATTCAGTTCAAGATATGCTCAGGCAGTCGGCTTTCGTGATATGCTCCGGTGCTCGACAACTGCTGGGGATGGCGGGACTGTGTTGACATCATTTCTTGATAATATTTGATAAAATAATATAAAATATTTTTTCGGTGCTCTCTCTCTCTCTCTCTCTGTGAACGCTATGAGGAATGAAAAACATGTGTGATGTGCTTTGGTGGACCCCTTGTGCCTTCTGAATCTTCTGATGCCTGTTCTACAACCATTGTGCCCTTCGGTTTGGCGAGGTGGACGTGGTTGTTTCTATGACCAGAACTCCGCCTGTGGACGTCGAGGGTCGGAGTTCTCTGAAGCCTGCCATCCAATGAGTCGAAGCTGACAAGAATTGCTCCTAGTAGCGATGCCCTTTGCTCCTAGAAGCGTTCCTAGATGTTCCTAGAAGTAAGGCCAGGAGCCCCTAGTAGCGTCCTTGACTCTCAAAGACTCGAAGGATCACAAGAATGATGTGGTGATGTTAACTAGCTCGACTCAATGTTTGCGTGTGGCCCTCCTAGGAGTTGGGCCAAAACCTACACACCGATGAAACCGTGATCGGTTACTCCAAGCCTGACCGAAGGGCTGCACGATGATTCTGCGACCTTTGAAGTCCAGCCCTGCCAGTTCAGCCACTGCTTTAGCCGCCAAGTCCTCCGTTTCAAACTCCTTGGCACTTGGAAGTACGATCGAATCGAGGATGGACACAAGACAACACTCAAAGCGTTAACTGAACTTCTGACTGGTGTAAATGCAGTTGCGGGACGACCTTTCCACAGTTTCGCGAGCGGCCGCTGTCACGATCCCGGAAGATGCGGGCAAAGGTGACTGGGCCAATACTAGATGCAAGCTGCAACAAAGTGCCTGCCAAAGTCTCTCTAATCAATTACAGGCAAAATGTTCCACACCACACGTTGACATTCTTTCATATTCTGTCACTGGTCGAGGTTGTGTTCTGGCACAGCCAGTTTCACCACAAAAAGTAGTTCGAAAAGAGGGGCCCTGACCCGAATGAATTAGCGAAGGCTTTCTCCAATAAAACCTTGTTCGCGTGCCTGAGGGAGTAGTCCCCAAAGATTTGATATGCACCTGTTACTAGTAGCTTAGTAGCTTCTAGCTACTAGCAGTGATGCACTTGTTACTAGTGGCGATGCACCTGTAACTAGTAGTACACATTGAATGTTGCTGTGCCATTGAGTTTTGCTCTTGTGCTTTCGTGGCAAGTCTCGGTAAAAATTGCGATTTTGAGGGATCTGGGTGAAGCCTCAATGTGCGCGAGGCAGTTTGAGGCAGGTGCAGGGAACCGTGATGAGTGTCGCTGTGCCGTTGAGATTAGCATGTTGCGGATTGCAAAGCTGCTTGGGAAATGCTGCGTGATGCTTTCGCAGTGATGAGACTTCCCGTTTCACTTTATTTTACAGTATATAGAGAGTTCATGAGAGTTCTCATTTTGATTTACAGTATGAAGGAAGGATGTCTTGTGGGAAAGGATCCTTGTGAAGACTTGACTTGACGCATCACTTTCGGGGGGATGCCTCATACGAAACACTCGTAATGCTTGTTTTAAAGGCTTGGCTGGAGTAAGAGTGTTCTACAAGAGCATCCACAAGAGTGTCCCACAAGAGTGACATACCAGAGTGTCCTACAACTGTCCTAGAAGAGTGTCACCCGGGAATGTCCTTCAAGAGTGTCAAACAGCGGCCCATGGCCGTTCATTTTTGTGTGCATTTGGGTTCGCGGGCTCCATCTTCTTTCCTGGGCTTGCAGTATGGCTTTGGATGGCCGGTCCACTCAATCAGTCCCACTCGCTTCGCTCCTTCATCCATCTCCGGCGCTAAACCTCCCACAAAGACTGTGTTCTGTGGCTTGGGAACCTCAGGGTTTGCAGACTGGCTTGAGTTTCTTCAAGAACTTGACAAGGATGCTCACGGGGGAAAGAATAAATGAAAAGAAGCCATTGAAGATCTGTATTTCCACAACATCCCGTACATAGTGCCAGCCGACATGTTAAACTTAGTCATGAGTCACGTGCGAAGAAAAAACAGCCGTGGAAACCCTCTAACTCTAACTCTATCCTAAACAAACGTGTGCTGAAGTCTTCACTTCTGCATGCCAAGACTTACTGAAGTTGCAAAGCTTCCGACGCCCTCCATGGCTGGGAGAGCACTCTCAGGTGCAGACGGAAGGGCGTCGCTCAGATGCCATGGGCTCTACAGTCACCTCTTGCCCGGCCAAGGCCTCCAAATAGACAATTGATGGCAACCAAAAATACCCCTGAATAGCCTGCATTAGTATTCCAAGTGTTTCTGGATGTAGGTTGCAGGCAGAGTTCATCTAAGTACTTCTGTGATCTGGCTCCAGCTGCTAGCTGCTACGCAATCATCCTGACTCCTTTATACGCAGGAGGGTGGTTCAAGCGAATGTCATCAACAGCTGGATCTTTGGATGACAACATTGTCACGACATGAGCACAGGCAGGTCGGTTGAGCATATTCCCGGCACCGTCAAGTTACAGTAAATCAAATTCTCCTCCCCTTCCCTGGTAGCCTTGCCATTCAGCTTGTGGACTGCCTCCTCCGCTTGTTCAATTGATGCGTACTCCACTTTGCCGCATCCTCTCGACTGGCCGGTCCTTGAGGGGATCGGATGGATGACCAAACGGCACCCGTCACTTCAAGCCACCCAGCGTCTTGGCACAAACGCGATACTGGCACAGCAGCATTGTGGAATTGAGTCAAGATACTGTCGATCGGTGAATACTCTCACATAGATCACCTCTCCTCTGCAACGGTGACACGGACCCGGATGCCCCCAACCACAGAAGAGTGCTGAACTGCGGGTGATTTGTGCAGTTCGCTGGTTTGAACTTTGATCGTTTACATGGTTGCCCGCTAGTTTACGATATATTGTTTATGCAATCCAGGTGTTTTGGTTTGCATTGAAGTACGGTGGTGGTTTCTCTTTGCTGCCGTGAAGCCTGCAGCTGAAGCAAAGGCCTGCCTCAGGTTCCATGAACAAATACGCCAAGGACTGTCCGCTGTGGTGAACAGAGGCCTATGAGTGATCTGAAAACTGAAAACGACACTTTTGATCTAATAGTCGACTTGGGAATGTTCGCTGCCGGGCAGTGTTGTCACGCATCATACCAAGTAGCAGCTCCTCCCTGGTCACTGTGGGGTGCAAATTTCCCACAAAGACAGCGCAGCCAGCTGTGTCTCGCCGTTGCCTCAGAGAAAAGTTGGAAACGGCAGCTGACTGGAGCCTCCCAAAGCCACACCTGCAATATCCTGCAATCTACAAGTTGCTTCCACATATGAGCTTTTCAACAGCAAGCCATTCGTGGATGACCCTACCAAGTTACTGAAGAGGAAGCAATGTTTGATCGAACCTGACCTCAATCATCAGCAACCAGCTTTTTGAAGATCTCTTCAGCTGTTACCAAGCTGCCAGAAGTGGGCAGGCACATCAGCCAAAGATTGCACGAGAATTTTGCAGCCATCCAGTGTGGTGCCATTCAACTCCCGGATGGCGCGCTCGGCGGTTTCTTGGCTATCAAAGTCGACCTTCCCTGTGCCATTGGAACTGCCACTGTCCTTACGAACCGCCCCCTGCGAGCTGCCTAAGAAAAGCCCACCTTTGAGGCAGCGAATACATAGCGCATCCATGCACTTTAGTAGGAATGTGAATGTGCGCAAGATTTTGTGCACCAGCGAGGGGAGACCCACCACCACTCAAGCAGATTCACTGCCGTCAAGTCTCCGGGTCCATATAGACCGTGGCATAGCGCACCTCACCGACGCCTTGACAGTACTCACCCAAGGTTTGTGGCAAGGTGTCGCCACTAAGTCCTCAGCATCAAGCACAACAGCATACGGGTCCAAGCCTTCAGGCAATCATTGTCCCTTTCAGGCCAAGATTTGGATGCCGAGACACTGCTTCATGCATAAAGCGGCACATATCTGTTGCACGTGTTTGTAGATGTTTGTAGGTGTTGTTTTCAAAGGCCCAGTAAGTTCATTGCTTTCGTTTTCGATAAAGAAAGTTTCACGACCAAGCTTCCCGAGACAAAAATCTTGGAACGCAAATCCCGAGCTGGCCGCAGTGGTGGTGGCCGCCTGTCTTCGCACGAGAAGCGTTCCGGTGCAAAATCTCGATTTTAAAAGAAACACGCCAGCAGCACGACAGCTCGCGCTGTCGCGGGGGGGACGCCTCCCGTGAGCCAATTTAGAAAAGTCAAACAATTCAAATGCATCAAAGACCCACCACTCCCTTGGTGTCAAGCACAATAATAATAGTTGTCGTTACTGTATGTTACTGTTACTAATCATGCTCACAGGCTGCAACTGGACATGCTGGTCTTTGAAAACGCGTGAAGATGAACTCTCGACGTTCAAGAAACCGCCAGCACCTGCCGCGATTGGACGGAGAGGTCCTGTTCATTTGGAAGATCAAGGAAGAGCAGTATCGGGCCAGTATCGGGCAGACCTTGCTCCACTACAGAATGACAACGGCTTTCCCACGCCACTCCTTGTCAGCTTCTCTGCGCTTCCAAGGGTCATCCCGCACCAAGGGATCCTCCCAAGCAATTCCATATAATTTGCAAAGGCCTTTAGGTTCTGCCACGCCTCGACGGGACTGCGAGGCTCCTACAAGGCCAAAGTGGGGCAAGTAACCCTCCACCAAAGCCCTCTCTAGTTCAAGCAAACGACTTCCCCACGTCCTCACTGGAGCCACCCGCCGCATTGGCGGAGCTGGGTGACGGAAGGATCATTGTCACCTGCAGTGCGGAGCTCCATCAATGGGTGGCAACAAAGAACCCTCAAACCCACAGTTCGACGATCTTCAAAGCTTTTTCACCAAGGCATCAACCGCGGTGTGGTTCTCAATTGCACTCACCTTGGGCACCTCAGAGGCAATGCTGCGATTGCCGAAACCTCATCACTGCCGAAACCCGTGACTGCCACCCGTGACAAGACTATATCTCCATCGGTGTTCTACAGCAATCAGGAACGACGTCTTGCACTGCAGGAGTGACAAATGCTGATCGAAATCACACACTTTGTCACAGCTCATGAAAGGGCATAGAGGCACCTCATCGGGATGCGTTTGCGGCTCAGTATCTGGCTCCTTAGGTCACGATGCACACGATTGCATAAGCATTATTGGAATGATGGGTCTTTCTAAAACAGACTTGCAAGGCCCCGCCTTGCTACTTTCAGGTTCTGCTTCAGGCCTGCGTTCAGGTTGCCACCCTCCGTGAGCCTCCTGCACTGAAAGCAAATGTGCCAAGATGTTTACTATGTTTATTGCACAGTGCTGCGCAAATGGGTCAGGTTCGGGTGGAAAAGGAAAGACACAAACTGACTATAGATTTCCTCTGACGCACCGTATGCGAAATTTGATGTTTAAGGAAGAAGTGCAGGGCCCAAGTCCTCACCGGAGTTTTTCCACCATGAAGCCTCTTCGCCCGTTGAACAAGCAAAGCAAGCATGCAATGGTGCACCCCAACATTGTCGGAATTCCCTCCCACCTGGTCAGAAGACCTGTTCCAGTCCCAGTTCGACCAGCCAGGCTCCTGATGATTCATGTCAGACTTGATTCTGCAAGCATTCGGGAGGGGAAGCGACTCGCAACATGGAAGTGCCAATGATGGAGCATGGCCTAAGTGCGTATTGCCTACCATGCAATCAGTCATCATCTGGGTCCCGTCCGGATATTGCTAGTAACTATTAGTAGATGCATGTAGCCATGGCAGCAAGCCCCTGGTGAAAATCTCTTTCACTCTGCCTTTATAACTTACGGATTGAATTGGGGGATATGGTGTTCCGAACCCCGCACCTTGCTGCTTTCAGGTTCTGCTTCAGGCCGGCCTTCAGGTTGCCATCCTCCCTGGGACTCCTGCAGGTGAAGATGAGGAAGTCATAAGACCAAACGCTTCACCTTGCGTCCGAGTGCTTCAAAACCAAAGCGCTAACAAAATACAGTACAGTACCGATTGTCTGTTCGTTCAGGTCCTCACCAGAGTCTCTCCACCAATGAGCCTTTCAAGATCATTATGCCGTTAGTAGGGGTCCATTGGTGCTCAACTTGTATTGAAAAGCCTGGCGAAATGATTGCACCACAATCTCCAGCCTGGTCAGAGGACCTGTTCCAGTCCCATTTCGACCAAGCAGGCTCCTGCTGGTATTTCAAGGTTCTCACCAAAGAAAGTCTTAAAGTGAACAATCCTGGAATCAAACAAACCAGTTCAGTAGATCTCCTCCGATCTCCAGCCACGCCAAGAACCCCAACTATCCTGCCAGCTGCTACAAGTAGCAGCTGCTTATGATGCTTATGACTGATCCTTCAAATCACCACCTTGCCACGTGATGCCACTATCTTATCCATACTTTCACCATTGGATCTGGGACAACTCTGTGAGCACGACAGGACTTTCGGTCCCAAGTTGACCAACTTGGTGAACTCCACCAACTCCAGCTCCATGGGTACCAACCGTCAAACCTGGGCAGGTGAGCGTGGCTGTTGAGCCCAACAAATAAGCGTCCACTCAGTTTCAGAAGCCTCTTCCCATCAACTTCCACCCTGCTGTTCAGCCACCAATTGTGGGACCAGGTCCCTCCATTCCAGCGCCAACCATGGCCTGGAAGGCCCGAACTGCTCCGAAGTGACCCCTCTATCAGGTGGTCTCCAAATGTCTCCAAGCCCCCTAGCAATGCCCGTGGCGCAGCCTTGCGCCAGCTCTACCTGTGGAAGATGCCAAGGCAGGAGCTCCCTGCGGCCCGCCTCCCCATGCCGCAGCCGGCCATTCTGCGTCCGCCTGATGATGTGCCTGGAAAGTTGGCTGCATTCACTTGCGAGGTTTGTCTCCATGAAGATGCCCAAAGCGCTTCTTGCTCCTAGTAGCGATGCCTTTTGCCCCTAGTAGCGTCCTTGTTCCTAGTAGTAGGGCCAAGAGCCCCAAGTGGCCCTGGTAGTTTCTTGCTCCTAGTAGCGATCCTTTTGCCAATGCCCCAAGCGCCTCCCCCATAGATCAAAGCGGCCATGAGGTCTTTGCAAAGCGCCATGGGTCTGTGGTGATCATGCGACCGACGGGTTCAAGCCGTCCACTCAAGGAACTTGAACGCATTCAAAGCTTCAGAATGTTGCACACAATGACAATAACTAACCCAAAAGGTTCCCACCCTCTGAGCCCTCTGGGTTGTCCAAAGCCCTGTGCTCTAACTCTCTAACCATTGAAGATCTCTTTGCTTTTCATTCCTTCTTGGGTTCGTCTGTGGTGTGTGTGTGTGTACATGTGGTTACAGTTGTATACATATGAAATTACTTGAGGCATGCTGGACATGCAGGTGTGTGCCAACTGTCCAAGGCCACATTGCCAGCTTTGGGCCGGTGACTGTGCTGAGAGTTCACTGTCGGTGGATGGGGGTGTGGTGCGGAATGGGAAACACGTCGGATCTCGATCACTTGAACATTTTCAGTGTCATCAACTGTGAGCAAATGACATCCCATTTCTGGTGTTTGTCTGCAGGTTTTTCTCGTGATACAAGCACCTCGCCTTCGAACTTTCGCTGGGTGCGTGTGCTTGGAAGAGGTCATGACATGATTCGTTTGCATTGCCAAAATGGAGGACAGGGTGGCGGCCCAGGTGGTTGGCCATCGTTGCAGCATAGCACGCTCCCAACATTAGTGGGCCCAACGCCAAACCCAATTGATCACTTCTGAATGTCACCCTGGTAGTCCAAAGGCACCAGCGACCTTGCCAACGGGAAGGAAACGAAAATGTCCATCTCGGACCACAAGACATCTACAGAGCCTGATTCCTGGCTGTGACAATCCAGCTACCATGACCATTGGTGTCTGAGCTTCGCCTCCCACCAGGCTGGCGAAATCAAAGCATGAAAAATGTCATGGGGAACGCAGTTTCACGTGATTCCGCCCCCGCCTGACTTCCCATCTTTGAGAGCCAATGCGCTCTTCTGTTTCTCAATTTTTCGCACGTGTTCCTTCAGATCAACCCAGCTGTGCCACTGCTTTCGCAAAACACTGCATTTTGGGGTGACTGTCCTCATGCTGGCGGAGTCGGTTGTATGTCGTGGCTGGGGTCAAAGGCACCCATACCTCCGCTTGTTGCCGATCAGCTGTGGAATTTTCAAGTTTGATGATTGATGGGGTTTGCTTTGCATATACAAACTTATTGACCAAAATAACGATGGACTCAAGTGACCCGTCGGGAATGTACAGTGGCATCCACAAAATGCGTCCAAGCGGCAGATCCAGGATCCATCTTTCTCAGCCACCCACGCACTTCCCAAAGTGCAACTTGAACACCCACGTCCGAGAACACAGCGACTCTTCAAGAATCATGTTCCATGCACCTCATTCAACTCCCTTTTGTCAGGTACGGTGCAGGAGTGCATGCCTACCCTGAACATCCCTGAGCGGCCAAACCACATCAAAATTTACAGTTTGGGGGTGATGCTGCTGGCACGAAAAGGGCCAAGTGGGTGAAGTGTTGGCCATTCCTTTTGCTGGTGCTGCTGCCGCTTCCGGTTGCTGGAAGCGGCCATGGCCACAATCCGGAACACATCGGCTGTAATTGAAATTCAGCTGTCCAAATCCATATGGTGAACCAGGAACCCGGTTGAGCAAAGGCTAAAAACCCAGGCCCATAAACTGGTTTTTGCCAGATTTTAGTTCCAGGATGTTCCAGGGGCACATGTGCCAACGAACACGGCCACAATGTCACAGCGAAACAACACAAAAACGTGCCGCCCATGTGCCTGCATGTATGTTCTGCTGCGTGCCGACAAGTCCGAAAAAAAATCGCACCACGAGAAAGAACAAGGTCACTGAGGAGCGGCGCGGGGCCAGCAGGCTAGAGAGTAAAGCCCGCTGCACTGCGAAACCCACCTGCGCACCCAGGCCACGGCGAGGAGCGGCCGGGAGCTCATGCATCTTAGCACGCGCCACGAACCGAAGCCTCTTGGTTCCAGCGCCGGCCGGCCTCAAGGCCAAGCACGACGAGGCGACACCCCCTCAGTCCCGAAGAGCTCCGGGTAGGTAGGTACGTTTCTTTGTGCGGCGGTCCACTACAACGAGGGCCGGCACAAAAAAAGGGTCAAAAACATATTGTAGCCGCTTGCGAGCCGTCCAGGGCGGGGAGGCGTGTCAACAGAGTGAGTGTGCTGGGCTGCGTTTGTGTTTTGCAGCTGGTGAGCTATGAACTCTGGTGAGCCAAGCGGTGCACCCAGGATGGTGATGCTCTGCTGGTGTCGGGGAAGGGTGTGGTTGCCAACCCGCGCATCTGTCCTAGGTCGAGCCCGGGAGAGGCTACGCCGGCCGCGTTCCATGCTAGCGGTGTAAAGTCATATCTCCCAATGGCACAGAGCCAAAACTAAGAAGTCACATCATGTTCGGCAAGTCACACCAGTTAGTGCAAAACACAATGGCACAGAGCACTGCGTTGTGTTATACTCCCAAGTGGCCAAAGCCCTGGTAAGGTAAGGTATGTTGTCCTGCCTTCAAGATTGGCTGACCAACATAGTTGGTTTTCTTGAAGGGACTTAGGCTCTGAATTCCTATTATCCATCAAGTAAAGGATATGCATATATAATATGAGAAGTGTATATGCTGCCATGCAGCCTGCGCATGAGCCAGTGAACCGCGCATGCAATGACACCAAGGACGCCTAAATGGGCTGCGGGTTTTTTGCGACAGTTTTGGGGGTTTTTTGCAACGGTGAGGTGTGAGAGGGTTTTTTTGCGACGGTGACCGCAGAAAGGGTTTTCTGTGACAGTACTGTCCGCTGGGGGGTTTTTTGCGACGGTGGGGCGAGGGTTTTTTGCGAGGGAGAGAGAGGTGGCAAGCGTTTGTGGGGGTTTTCTGCGACGGTAACCGGGGTTTTTTGCGACTGTAGCGCATGGACGGGGTTTTCTGCAACGGTAAGCGGGGTTTTTTGCGACAGTAAGGGGCTCGAGGCGACGGTACTATAGTAGTACGACGACGACGACGACGGCGACGACGACGACGACTACTACTACTACTACCACTTCTACTTCTACTTCTTACTACCACTGCTACTACTACTACTACTACGACTACTACTACTACTACTTCTACTTCTTGCTACTACTACTACTTCTACTTCTTGCTACTACTACTACTACTACTACTCCTACTACTACTACTACTACTACTACTACTATTACTAGGACTACGACGACGACTACTATACTACTATACTGCTACTACGACCACGACAACCAGTACGACGAATAGTATATTAAGACTACTCACTGCTAGAACGAGTATACTACTCCTTTGATTTCACTTGTACCACCAGACTGCATACGTGGCACAAGATGTCGGCAATGTGGACAGTTGCAAGTTGACAAGCGTTATCCCTCAGCGCCTCTTGGCTTCCCGCATGCCGCGGTACTGAGCTTCTCTGCCACGGCAAGGCGGACGCTGGGCAGAGAAGAAAAACTGTGCGTACGCAGGCGTCGCACCCCACCCTGGCGATGAGCAGGTAACCTGGCGAGCGCAAACAGCGAGCGACAAAGCAGAACAGAGTGAGCAGAACACTTGGAAACAATGGCGGCCACGCCACGTTAGAAGAAAGACCTGGCAGCCACTCCAATGGAACGAAAGCGCGGGCTACAAGATTGGTACGCTGTCAGCGCTCATACAAGAAGATACCAGAATCGGCGAGAGGACAAAAGAAAAAGCATAGACTTCTTTTTGAGCGTCAGTATATCTTCTGTCAGACACCGCAGCGTCTTTTGCGCGGGGGCGCGTCCGATTTGGTGGGACGACCCGTGCGTTTTCTGCTGCTAGGCAATGTGGTCAGAATCACAGGCGGCTGTGGGAAATTCGGAAGGCCGAGACTGCGAAGAAAAGTGGAATGCTCACATTGTGCATGCATAGCAGCTGCCGGGCAAGAGCATAGAATAGAGGTGGGTCGAACCTTCAAGTACACGACGTGCTCAAAATGAAATTTGAACGACTGTAAGCACAAGTTTCCATCAGGAGTGAACAGGTCAGGCAAGCTCCGGGCACTCAAAGTAGCTGGGTGGATCAACACTTGCAAGACTTTCAAAGTAAGGGCGCGGTTCAGTGGCGAAACTGCGGCTGCGCTGGCGAAAGCAACCCAGGAACAATCATTGCACTGCTGCAAGACATAGAGGTTGGTAGGGGCCAATTTGGCAAAGTTGGCGGCGCAAGTGCGCCCAGCCCGTGTGAGCGCAGTGCCATTGACCAATTGTGGATCTTGAGTGGGCGGAACAAAGGCCAGCGGGGTGGAAGCTGTCCACGAATACCAATGCTGCCAGTGATCTGTGTACAGCTTTTGCAACACATGAAGCGCATGCCAATGTTTCCGCGGCCGCCAAGTTGGTTCAGTTCCCGTTGCCAGGAAGAGTGGATGGCCTCGGCAGGCTCACTGCCACTACCAGATCCTGGCAGAATACCATCAAACCCAACCCAGAAGCTTACAAAGATGATGTCGGGAGAACGGTGGCCTTGGAAGATGGCTGGCATAGGCCGCTCATAGGTCTGCAACCAATCGGCCAGGGTGGGTTCACCGAGACGCCGAAGGGTTGCGACGAACGCTTTCCACAGCCAACTGAAAAGAGGTAAGGTCGGAACGAAGCGAAGGATGTTGATGACCTCCAAAGCAAAATGCACGTATTTCTTAACAAACTTCCCTTTTCGCGAGACCAGCTGCTGGCATTTTGCTTGCATAGTAGTGTGCGATTTTTCCTTGAAGTGAAAGAAATCGTCACACGGTCGGGAAAGCGGCCAGACATGGCGACGAGCTTCTTCGATGCTCGGGTGGAAATCTTTGTGCAACTGCAAGCTCATCTGCTGCTGTAATGGCTTCTTGTTGGGATGCCTCGCTGTCCAAAGGTCACAACAAGCGTCAAACAAGTTGACATAGTTCGCCTTTGTCTCAGCATGAAAAATTGCTTGCAGCAGCGGCATGCCATGTGAAGTCCAAGCACGGCTCTGCGTGCGGCAGCCTGCGCC